GACACCTCCAGAAGCTGTCAAGTCTATCTTTTGCTCGCTTCCAGGACTTGTGGACAGTTTACTGGTAGATGCTTCGTAGAAGGCTGCTGCTGGGCGTAGACGAATGGACAACCCATTAAGAAGTGGTTGGGTGTCAGTGGAAGGTCGTCGTCAAGGTCGCTACTGACATGAGTTAACGGACGTGAGTTGAGGATTGCCTCGGTCTTGGCTACAATAGTAGCAAATAGATCTCTTGATAGTCGATCAGAACCGAGATTTAGTAAGAATGCTCGTTTTATCAATGAGTTGAGTCGCTCCCACACGCCGCCAAAATGGGGGGCAGCCGGAGGATTTAGGCGCCATTCAACATTGTGGATTTGTAGCGTTTCAGTTAGGGTGGTTTCGTTGAAGTTGATTGATTCTGAGCGTAGTTGTTTACGCGCGCCGACGAAGTAAGTAGCGTTGTCAGAGATTAAAAGCTTAGGTGTGCCTCTCCTAGCAACGAAACGTCTAATTGCCGTTATACAGTTGTTCGTAGTACGGTTGTCTGTCGATTCCAGGTGAACCGCGCGAGTAGAGAGGCATGTGAAGAGGCAAATGTAGCTTTTTTCAGTTGTATCCTTTGTTGCTATTTAGAATGGCCCGATATAGTCAATTCCTGTGTTTTTGAACGGAAATGGGTCGTCAGACGGATCGTCGAAACGAGTTGGCGGCAAGTCGGCCATGAGTGGATGTAGCCCTTTGCCTTGGAATCTTCTGCAGAGAAAGCAGTTGTGTCTTATCTGTCTGAGTGTTTTTCGGAGCCCAATGATGACAAAACTTTGTTGCAGGTAGTTGCGAATGTACTCAGTGCCGTGGTGCATGCAGCGGCGATGAGCGCTCTTGATCATCATGCGCACAATTGGGTCCTTTGCGTTAAGAATTATTGGATGCTTTGTTGCGTCCGGTAAAGGTGAGTTTCGTAGTCATCCTCGCGCGCGAATAACATCTTTGTCGAGAAAAGGTGACAGCTGTTGCAGTTTGTCTTTGTTTTCAACTTGTTGCTTGGTTCGTAGTTGATTGTAGGTGTCACCAAAGGTTTCTTGCTGGGACTGTTGATAAAGGAGGAGCTTAGCTTTTTCTAGTTCTTCCATAGTGGTAGAAGGTTTACCGTTTCCCTTAAGTGTATCGACAAAAACTATAACGCGAGCTGTGACCCGAACTAATCGAAACCAATCTGAACACCTGGAAGAATCGATTAAGGGTGTAGTTGAGGGGCTAACCGTTGTAGCATTACTTTGTTCCATTATTTCGTTGGTCCCCCAAATAGGCTCATTGTTGAGTAAAAATTGTGGTGCATCCAACCAGAGCTTTGCTACGTCTTTAAGTTCAATTCCCCGTGTAGCACTGTCTGCTGGGTTGAGTCTACCAGGGATGTGTTTCCATTGTTCGGCTTTGCATAAAGTAATTATTTCACCAACTCTTTTTGCGCAGTAAGTTTTCAGTTTACCAGGTGAAGCAATCCAGGACAAAACAGTGGTGCTATCCGTCCAAAAGTGAGTGGAGTGGGGCTTTAATCGCATTTCATCGGTAGCGATTTTGCATAGCCGAGCACCCATAAGGGCGGCTTGTAATCCCAGTTTAGGAATGCTCTCTCGGTTCAGTGGTGCTACCTTTGTTCTGCCAATCAAGAAAGTAGCGTGTATGCCAGAGCTACAAGCAGTTCGGAAGTAGATGCACGTAGCCATTGCGTCTTGCGACGCGTCGCAGAAAACATGAAGCTGTATATCACTAGGTGACAGCTGTGGACCAAGTAAGCGCGGCAGTCTAACAGGGGGTACTTGTTTGCATTGGTCAACCCATTTGTCAATTATCGGAACAAAGTCACTGGGCCCGGTTTTGTCCCAAGAGATACCAGACTTCCACAAGTTTTGCAGAAGAATTTTGAGTTTTATGACAAACGACGCTAGGATGCCTAAGGGGTCGAAAACCCTTGCTACTGTAGAGAGAACTGTTCGGAGTGTAGATGATGTAGTGTTTTTTAGCTTGGTTGTTGGTTGCACAAATATCGTATCGTCAGTTGTGTCCCATTTGACACCCAGAACACGATGCACTGTAGCATTAGTAGAAACTTCGCCTCCATCAATGGAGTAGATCGAGTCATTAGTGTTAGATACGAACTTAAGTAGGTTGAATCCCCCCTGTCTTAGGGAGGATTTTAGTTGCGTAGTAGAGTCTCTAGTGTCGTGTTGAACGAGTGAACAAAGTCGTCCATGTAAAAGCTTTTGTGAAGCAGTTGAGCAATAATGGGTTTGGTTACGCAGTAATAGGCAGCTGTTTGATGAAGCGCCAAGATGGCAATGGATGGTGAGCATTTTGCACCAAAGATAAGTCGCGTGCATTGGTATTGTTTGATACCTTTTTAGTAGGCCAAAGGAAGCGAAGCGCATTTTGATCTTCGTCTTTAATACCTATTTGCATAAACATACCTTCAATATCCACCGATACAGCCACAGGTTTTTCCCAGAATTGTAGTAGAAGTCCAAACATGTTGTTCAGGAGGTCAGGTCCAGTTTCAGCAAGACGCCCTTGTAGGTTGAGGCAGCGTTGGCCACTCTGCGTACCTTTCCGGGCTTGTTTGGATTAGTTACAGGGTGATGTGGGAGGTACCAAAGTAATTCAGGTTGTGGGTATTGGAAAGTAACGGGCTTGACGTAGTTATTTTCCAGGTCGGTATTAAGCGATTTCTCATTGAACTGCTTGGTTTCAGGGTCTTTTCTGAGCCATTTTTGTAGCGATAGCAGTTGAGCTTTAGCTACCGGATAATTGTTTGGCAATTTTATTTCGTTTTTCCAGAGTAGATTTATTTTGTAGCGATCTCCATCGTGCTCAATACTTTTTTCCATAAATCTTAGTTGTCGTTTGTTTTTATCAGAGTATGTAGCTTTGTTATCTTCCTCGAAGCCTGATCCTTCCACTTTCCAGAAATTTTCCACTAATTCAGTGAGATTAGCGCCTTCTTGATCATTTAAGTCAATGAAGTTAGTTGAGTGTGAATTTGATCCGGAACTATTAGATTTCTGGTTGAGTGGGCCAGTGATCGTCCAACCTAGTAGGTTTTTTACAGCGTAGGGGGTGCCTGTAGGACCTTTTCTGATATCGCGCTCCGCAATATTCCAGAAAGCATCTACGCCAAGCAAAATTTGAACTGTGTTGTCGCCTAGTTCAGAAAAGTTGACATGTCGAAGGTGATTGTAGAGTGAGCACGTTTTGTTAAGGTTCTTTGCGTCGATAGCGTCAAAATTCAGAGCTTCAACTGAATAGACTGATTGTAGGGTGAAAGTAGGTTTTGTAGCGTTATGTGGTCCGATACTAAGCCGGACCAGCGAGGAAGACACTTTGTCCTTACTGAAAGCACCTCGTATGCTAAGCTGTAGTTGTTGGCTTGGTTTGCACTGAAGTGTTTCAGCTGTTTTGCTGAGGATATATGAGCAGCTGCTGCAGTTGTCGAGTATGGCGTAGCAATCTAGTTCGATGCCATTGTTAAACAGTGCTACCGGCATAAATTGTAACTGATTTCTGATGTTGTTCATATTTTGGATTGGATCCTCAGCTTGTTCTGAGGGCTTGGTTACTGTAGTGCCAAGCTGCACGATATTTGATTTTTGGTTGTGCGTTTGAAACGGTTTTTTGTCGATGTGTAGAGTTGAATGGTGTTTCCCTCCGCAGTTGTTGATGAAACATCGCTTAGACCATGTGCATTCACTAAATCTGTGTTGGCCTAAGCAGTTGAAGCACAGCTTATGTTGCTTCACCAGCTCTGCCAGTTGATCTACGGGAAATTTCAAAAAGTCCGGACATTTTCCAACGTAGTGAACTTGGTTATCTATTGGACATGTTAAAGTTGTTGGTCTTGCTGATATGCCTAAAGATTTGTCGTAGTTTTGCCTGGACATAGAAGTAAATTGGTTGGGTCGGGTGTCGGGTTGTTGTTGCTTCATAGGTGTGGCGATTTCGTCCCGCTTGGTTTGGAGTCGACGGCTCTATGTCCAGGTTCTCGCATAATTGCGAGTAGTTATTGAGGTACTGTGTCAAGTCTTTGAGTGTAGCATAATCGAGATCGTGCAGCACGCAGTGTTCTTCCCACTTCATTAGTAGATTTACTGGGAGTTTTGATCGAGCAAGTCGGGTCAGGTTACTAGAATTTAGATCAGCGGTGTAGCCGTTGAGTTCGAAGTTGTGGATTAGTTTCCGTAGGAAAGCAGCGTATCTTATAAACCCCTGTGGTTCGCTTAGTATCAATTTGTCAAACTTTTCAAGTTCCTTGATGAACGCTGACACCACATATTTTGGGTTACCGTATCTACGCACTAATTTAAGTATTGCGTGTTCATACTGAGAACAATTGATTCCGTAGCTCTCTTTTAAAGATTTAGCATTATCAGTGCATAATGACTGCAAGTAAAGTTATTTTTTCAACCGGGCTTAGGCGTGGGTTGTTGCCAATCGCAGTCTGGAAGAGTTCGAACCAGTTGTTCCGCTCCAGTGGGCTGCCGTCAAACTTTTGGTAGTTTTATATCTGGTAATTTGAATTCTTTCAAACTGTAGTTGATGGCAGTGGTCGGATGACTGGTAGTGTGTTTGGTGACTTGTCTTTCTTCATTATCGAAAAGGCTGTTGCGTTGTTGTTCGTGTGATTGTAGGATAGTCCTATGATGGTAGTTGAAGTGGTTGGTAACGAACTGTTCAGATGTAGTAGCAGGACTATTTGCAATTGAAGTTGTTAGCAGACCATATCGGTTATTGCCAGTTGACATCTGGGCTTCATGTCTTGAGTTGTCGTTCCAAATGTGATTTTCATTGGAAACTGGTGGAGGCGAGAAGTTGTATCGTAGAGGAGCTCGAAAGTTGAAAGTACACGGGTTTGCAGACGGTGAGACTGATCTGAAATCAGTTGTAGAAGTAGTGATGACACCCTTGGTTGTCTGATCTATAGCTCTGTTGGTTCCCGGTAGAGGTGGGAAACTGTAGCGTTGGGGAGCGTCTAAATCGAATGTACTCAAGCCGTCGGTGGATGTGTAAGTTGAGAAGTCGGCAGCCGTAGTACTGATGAAGTTGTTGGCCAAGTTTTCAGTAGTATTTGAGCTTCTTACTGGTACACTGGCTGTTGCAGATGTGCCTTGCACTCTAATTGAGCTTTTTAATCTTGTGGAAACTGAACCATCGTTTGTTAAGACCTTTTCGTATTTTCTAACATTGATTAGTAGGTCGCACTTTCGTTTTCGTAGCGTTGAAGCAGTGTTGAGGCAGTCTTGTGCTTCCTGAGTAGAAAACGCGGCTAAGTCGTCTGTGAGCGTATCAAGCAGATCAAAACAAGTGATTATCTCCTCAAAACTGAGTTTAACGTACTCGATTTTGCTTGAGTTGGCTATTTGCCTCGTTACTTCTTCCTCAACCTCCTCGAAAGTACTGTAGCGGCGTCTCCATTGATTGAGTAGCTGTTGTAAAGTTGGCTTCGTTGGAGCCATACAAGAAAGTAGTACAAAGAGTAAAAAATATGTATTAAAAGTTTACGAGCTCGGATGGCAGCGATCGCAAATTAGTTCCGCTAATGAAGCTTTTTTGAGCTTTCTCAAGATTTTTACTATAAGTTACGTTTAATTTTTTGTTAAAGTCAACCAGCCAGAGGGTTAGCCCCGTGGTTAATTAAACAAAGTGAGCTACAGCTCACGCAGATATGAGCTTTTTAATTATTGTTAAGGTGAAACTTTCTTCTTTTTTTTAAGAGTTCAAATGAGTAAAAAAATTTGTAGATGTGGCTAGTAAAACCTTTTTTTTAGTTATGGATTTAAAGAAAACGTTTCGGAAAAAATAGGCTTTGGAAAATTCGCAGCAGCTAGTTTTGGGCTAAAAAGTTTTGGCTATCGGGTTTTGGCTATCAGTATGTTTTTTATCAGTGGGAACCTTGTTTTTTTGTGTTTAGGTACTACCTTAATACCCCGAGGATTAAAATTAAATTGACCAATTCTAACATTTCACATTGGAGGTTGTAGATTTCTTTAAAAAAAAACTTACAAAAGTTTATCGCAATTGTTTTAAATTTTAGCACAATGTGGGTTTTGCTATAGCACGAACTTGAATAAAGCTTTCAAAATCGACTATGTGGTTGAAATTTTTGTAGCAAGATCATGAATTTTTAAGTTTAAGCACAAAAATATTTTTGAAGTAAAAAAAAATGTTTTCGAAATGGATCTAGCCTGAGTTGTGATGTAGGACCCTTGGTCAGGACCTGTTGTTGAAGTTGTCGCTGAGATCGCGGAGATTGCTGTAGGTAAAGGTGCTTGCTGTAGGTCAAGGTGACTGCTATAGGTCACGGGAAGGTGTAGGTCACGGACTGCTGTAGGTCACGGATTTTTGTAGGTCACCGTGCTTGCTGTAGGTCAAGGTGACTGCTGTAGGTCACGGGAGATGTAGGTCACGGACTGCTGTAGGTCACGGACTTCTGTAGGTCACGCAGAGGATCTGCTGTAGGTCGCCTGGTGGTGCCTGCAACTGGTGGTGACAATGAGAGGATGTAGAAAGAACCACTGAGGTGGAACACCCTTGAAGTGTCGTGTATGCCCTTGAGCTGTTGCTTTTTGTGAGATGATGCTTCTGTGAGCTTGATCTTCGAAGAATTGAGCTGATGATGTCAACCAAAGAGCCTGAATTCTTCTGAGAGAGCTCTGACTTCAAATCTTTTTTGATCTGTGATCGCCAAATATTTAAAACAATTTGATGAACATATCTTAAAAGTCACTTCGTTAAAGTCAAATTTATTACTCATTAGTTCGGAACAAATCATGCTATTATTAAAAGATTTTACCGCATTTTTTTTATTTCATCAAGTACCTTAATTATACGTGTCATGAATCTGAAATTTTTCAAAATTTGTCGAAAACTTTAGGGAAGTAGTGAGCGAACGTTAGAGAACGGACTAAATTAAACATATTTACGTCAAGCTTTTTTCAGACAAGGCTTATGCAGCAAAATGATATGACTTCGAAAGAGCTCCATATTGAGGTAAACTGTTAGTCGGTATCTCAAATCAAATCAGCAAGTCTTTCCGTCCCCTTGTAAAAAACCTTAGAAATTTGAACTGGTGATGTATTTATTAAGCAAATTAATATCCCTTTCAAAAACTGTTGAATAAAAAAAACTGAGAGATTTTTCAAATTGAGTCTCTTTTTGCTTGGTTTATGCACACGATTTCAAATTTACTGAGATACTTTTTAAAAATTGCAACTGACGTTACTTATGTTTGCAAAATTACAAAAATTCTAAGATTGTAAGTGATAAATTTTTTTTTGAAAAATCAAAAACAACTTCATGCGATCCTTAAAGCCTGCTAAGCGCTAAACTAAGCTAAAAAAATAGCTTTTGCCAAATTTAGTGCCCTACAGTTTAAAGCTCTAGCAGCTTAAATTTATCCTGGATGAGAAGTTTTTTTGCTTTACGCTCTCGGTTTGTTCGCTCCAAGTAGGGCGAAAAATCGCACACCAGTTTTTTCTCTTAACTTTTACGCTCCGATCAAAAGGGCTAAAGTATAATGCATTGCTCATTTCTCTCTGATCAATTTGTTCGGGCAATTTGATTTTGCGTTAGTGATTGGAACAAAAACCAGGTAGGAACAAAAAAAATGTTTTATCGATAAATTTCATGCTTGTTTTATGCTAGTTTTATCGATAAATTTCAGCATGACCAATAAGATCTTGCCCATCTTGGTGATAATTGTTAATTGTACCAGGAAATGATTTAAAAAATTTGATGTTCCTAAAAAACACGTTTCCGGCTATTTAAATGAAATCTTCGGTAATATTCATGCGTAGTTAAAATTGAAAACGCTAGAAACGCTCCACGGTCAAAGGAAGTTTCGATGAGTGTAAAAAACTTAATCTCAGATATAGCAAGACCTTTCGTATCAGAGTGCAGCCCTGATTTGGCTTTTTGCCTTGTGTTCTATCTTGACAAAAAATATATAAAATTTTCAACAAAAAGCCCAGCAATTGATGTATTTATAAAAATTGTTTTCCTCATACACACGATGTCATGTACAAAATGCAGGTCAATTAGCTTGCAAGTCTCATTTTAATTTGGAATGATTTCTCAGCGGATTGAAACGGCACCGGCGCAAAATGCTTGTCCCATATAGCCATGTGTGCAATTCCCTATTTTCATGAATGTCTTCGTAAAATGTCTTCCTAGTTTTTAGCTCATGTCATCAATTTCTTTTGAATGTTATTTTATAACTCCGTCGAATTTTCTCTTTAAAAAATACACACATACCCCAGCGCAAATATGCATTTCTCTTCGTGGGTCGGGATGATAAAAATAAGTATTTCAAATCAACAAAACATGTGTAAGCCTAGCCATCCGATGGAAAAGTTGCAGCTAACTTGGTTATTCAGTAGCAGTAGCGTGGCCAGATCAAAGCAACCGCCCCCTCCCCTTGCAGTTTTGGTCGCCTCATCATTCATACTAATTTATGACATTCGTTTTTCGTGACCCAAACCTAAACTATAAAGACGACCTCGATGCTTATAAAATATCATTTTAGTTGTTTTTTTTTTTCAGTTAAAATTTTTTCGATAATTTTTGATCGATAAATTGTTTTCTAAATAAAAAGGGCATAGAAAAATATTTAAATAAAAACGGTGCAAGGCAGTAAATACGTTTTCTTCTTATAATGGTTGAACAAAAATACTAGTGGGTAAGTACTGCTTTTTTCGGAATAGTTTTCCAGCTCAGGCAGGGGCGAATCTAGGTTTTTCTCGAGGGGGTGGATTTTCAAAAAAAGTTTCGAAAATTTTATCGACCTTTTTTAGGGGTCGACCAAATTGATTTTTCGAGCTCTTCCAAAGCACTAAAAAGTCCCTGTTTTGGCCAAATTTCACGTTTTTTCGGCGCGCGCTCCGCCCTCAAAATTATTATATATTGGCGCCAAAGGCGCCTTTAGAAAATT